AAATTAATTCAAATGGTGTTAATGGGGAGGTGAGAGGGGAATAATTTTGGGCTGATTTTGGGGTGTTATTGTTGTCGAATTTGGAAGGAGTGAAGAGCCCATCAATGGGCCGGCCACATGGAGGAGAGAAGGCTTAGGTGTTTACTCAAATGGGGCCCACATAAATACGTAACATATTTTACATAAATCCTGTAATAAAATCAGGATTCACTAAAAGGAAAGTTTCCTTTCATAGATGTACACAATAAGCAACCCCTTTTTGAAATTCAAATTGAAATCCAAGGCTAGTGATTATTTGCTCAATTATGGTTGATTGAATGAGCCAATTAATCAGGCCTTGAATGCTTGATTTCACGGGCTAGCAACAGGGAGTAATGGCAGTCACGGGTGCAGGGGAATTCGGTGCTGTGAGGTCAAGAGGGCTCACGGCTGGGTGGTGTTGGGTTGAGGACGGGGAAGGAGAGGGGCACGGGCTGCACGGGAGGGGCTGGATCCGTGGCCAATGCTTGGAGGGAAGATGGCCGGCGGGGGACTGGCCGGCGGGTGGCTGGCGGGTGGCTGGATTGCTTAGAAGAGGCGGCGGCAGAGCTAGGAGAGGGAGAAATGGTAGGGGAAAAATTGAGGAATTCAAACGGGAATTCCAACTCTACAAATGCTTCGATCCAAATCTCCACGTCGACGAAATGATCAAAAGAACTCACGAAAATAGTAGAACAAGAACACCTAAAACTCACTAAGAGATCTAGTTTCCTCCTACGAACTCACTAAGAGATCGAGGTGGGTGAACTCACAAAGAGATCATAAGTGGCAAATTTCATTTCATCAAAAGCTAAAAGATTACAATGCATAATGCCTCATATAAGGAGGCTCAAACTCAAATAAAAGAAAAGACATAAACGCCTTCGGGGCTACATAAGTCAAGCAATGCCCTCAGGGGCAAACTAGAAAAACTAAGAAAATAATACATGACATAAGCTGTAAAACTCAAAAGTAGAGGCTCTGGATCGTAGCCGTCGATCTGCGCCGTCGGCGATATATATATATATATATATATATATATATATATACATATATTTGGTTAGAAAAAAATTAAAAATAATATTTTTATTAGATTTAAATGAGAAATTGCCGCTTAATAGTACATAATTGAGAAAAAAATTCATCTACCCGATTACACGTAGTTAGATAAAGGTTTTTGTTGTTGTACAATTTTTATTATGCTTTCCTAAATACCTTGGGCATCCTTTGGGACATTTTTTTATTGACTTTGCGAGAAGAAAAATAGCTAAGCAACTTACAGTCAATCCACACAGGAAGAATGCACAGATACAGAGACTTCCATTATGTAAGTGTATTGGATCAGCTAAGCAACTTATGATAGCCGTGATGATTTGCGAAGGAGTAATTTAATTTCATGATTCAGAAACTTCCATCATGGAAGTGTATTGGATCAGGTAGGCATGCACAGATACAGAAAAACCAGTTGTAACTGTTCTTTTTTAACCATGTAATGCTTATTTGAAATAGATGGAGAAGTTACAAGTTTCATTATGTTTTTTTCTTCATTGGTGCAATAATGTAATATAATGACTTCAAAATTCATGAATGGAGAAAATTTTCCTTGCATGGCTGGTCAGACACTCACTTGCAGGTGTTGGTAGATCTCTTATCACTTGAACTGGAGAGCTTATTTTTAGGACCAGGACGCGTCACAAGAGGAAAAAAGGCTTGCACCTCACCAAATAAAATGAGTTTTACTGTTTTCCTTTTACATCATCTTCTACTGTGGTCTCTGAGCTAGTATTAACTTGTCAATGGTTGCAGGTTTTATGCACAAATTATTGTTAATTTAATTTGGCGTACTGATCTTCAAAAGCAATTCGGTGCAGTGACTGGTCTCAGAACATCACTCTCCTATTTCTCGTAAGTCTTAGGCCTCAAAATCAATAATTGTGAAGTGAAAATAAAGGTTAAAATTGATTTTTTATGTAATATTAAAATAATAAGTTAAAGAATGACATATTAGCTTTTATTGAACTATAAAGTAACAAATTGACATACATATGAAAGAAAATTGCACATGATGTAAAGTGGCAAGTGAATGAAATAGAATTGAAATCCAAAAACAAAACAACATAAATATAGAATTGCATAAAAGTATTATGTAACATTAAGTTTAATTTCAAATTCCTTCTTTCTCACTTCCTTACTCATCATCAGCACAGTTATCAGTGAGGGAGGTTTTTATTGGAGTCATCGTCATAACAAATTTGCCTCTCTCTTGTCTCATCTTGTGGAGTTCAAGCCTCCCAATATGCTTATTCATAATTTATTTTAGTCATTTTCTTCTTTCATAAATATTTGTCATCAATATAATGATGAGAGTAATACTCTTAGATTTTTAGATGAGGTGGTGGTTTTGTACGGCTTTCAAGTGATCCCCGATGATGGCTACGACAGTGATGGCTGCAGCGAAGGCGATAGGCTAGAGTTTGAGGCAGTCAAGAGGAAGTTGTGGCTCGGGGGTGCATTAAGGCATGATTTGTTTGGGCCGGGGCTTTAGTTTAGGATTAGGTAAGTTTTGATAAATATATATATACAAGTAGGGTGAGGCATATCGCCTCTTGGCAGCAAGGCGAGATGCTTCTTAAGGAGGGATTCAATCAAGTTGAGGCGCAAGTCTCATAAAAAGGTTCGAGGCGTAAGCCTTGAGCCGTTTTCAGTGGAATTGCATAGAGGCAATTTATAAGATTCTTTTAAAATAGATGGAAGATCTCGTTGTTGGATACCTTTTTTTCCTGATCTCTACCTGAGTTCTTTTCGTTTCTGACATACCCATCCATAAGATCAAAAGTATGCTTCCTTAACTTCCTGAATTCTTTTGAGCTGATTAAGAAGTGTTGATGTCCGATTCTTTTTCATATCCAAAATCACCTTCTACAGTTTTTGATGCGAATAAAGCTTTTGGCAGCAACAATGGCAAGCATGGTGGAGGTAGATATTCAGGTAATGAGTTTGCTGATCAAAATTTCTCTGTTGGAGCCTTTTGAGTCTATTTTTTGCAGGATCGGTTGGTTGTTTTGTTTGCTAGACCGGTTGAATGCGTGCATATGAAAATATATCTGCATTGATTTTAACTGTAACTATGAGCTTCTATGAGTTCCTTCTTCCTGCTTTATTACAGCAGCTGGAAGGCTTTCATGTTGCTTAGCTTGTGTAACCATTTATTTTTAATTTTTTTTTCATAAAATATGCAATCCTTCAAACTTGAAGGCATACTTATCACTACTTGTCTTCAGATTATATGTATGTTGCCATTGTTGATATCAAATTTCTTTCACAGGAGAAATTATTTTGTGCAGGGCCGGATACAGCCCTACGTTCGGAGGCGAATCAGGTGCAGCTACGTCAGCGGTGCTTAGCAGTACTGAGCAGTATCGAGTGAAAGGGATGACGTGGCACATTCTGATTGGTCTCCCGACGGTGTTCGGCGTCCGCACATAATAATTTCTCCTTTCACAGCATCAGTGCTGCTTTGACAAACTAGGATTTTATATAATGCTATGTAAGCATTGGCACATAGTTCCTAAACTAAGATTGAAACATGTTTGCAAGTAATTTTGCCAATCAACCTAAACAAAATTTCAGTACAAAAACTTATGGGTCACTTGTCCTTTTCTTTTTAGATTTGAAACTTTGACATCTATTTTGGGAAGGCAAAGTAACTGACATGCTTTCCAGTTAATGTCTTAATAGCACATAAATCTCTGCTCTATAATACACAAATTTCTTTTTATGTAATATAAGCACAAGGTATAACTTCGCTTTGGTTTCAGCGCATTAGTAGCCTTCATTAGCTGTTATGTTAACTGATCAGTGTACCTTATGCTACTAAAACAGCATCTGTCACTCACGGGCTTAGTTTGGTTGGTGAGCGAGTGTGATTTGGTACACGTTAGATTCCTCTCTCGAGCGGCTCGCCTCCTTAGAGGGGTGAAGGCAAGCGTGGGCCTCACGCCAGTGGGTTGGTTGCCATTAGGTTTCACCGAGAGATTAGTTACGTCGTCAAGCACCTTCTAAAGGGTGGCAGTAGGTAGATACCCGGTTTCAAAAACAAATAAATAAATAAAAGTGGCATCTATCTAGCTTTTTTAGGCTTCGTTTGGGATGACTTTCTTGTACAAAAATTTTAATTATTGAACCAAAAAGATGTTTTAAGAAGCAGCAATAAAATCGTCCCAAATGAAGCCTTAATATCAATCATTATTTTAGATAAGAAGATTTCTCTGATTTTTAGAAGAAATTATGATCAAAATAAAAATTGTAACATCTGCATTATATCATAAGTGCAAACAATCATGATTAGTGTCTGTACAAGTTTCATCAGCATAAACTGCAAAACGCAAAGGTCAATATCAAATAAAAATGTTAACTTCAGACTCATTAACCCTCTCATACCTCATATGAAATAACAAAATTATTACGTGCTGTAATCGGACGTTATCCAGAGGTTAATCAGTACGCGTTATGTCACCAATTTAATATGTATTGTTATTATGTATTATTGTGTATTGGATAACATAATATATTCTGATTGATCTCCGAACAGTATGATGACAGCACGTAATAATTTCTCCACGAAATGAAACTAGTTAATCAATCAAAAGGTTAAATCAAATTCATGAAAATGCCACATTCCTTCCACTGATAAAAAAAGTAGAGATGAAAATGCATTTCTTCATTTCAATTTCTTTTTTTTTTTTAAATGCATTTCATCTTATTTTGTTGTGTACACTAAGATGAATCCATTGTACATACAAATGGAAAAAAAACAAGAGAAGTACAGAGACAGCCATGTGAAGCTTTTAAAAATGAACGTGGCTGTACGACGATAGCCTAAACGAGGACCGGTGAGGTAGAAAAACCGGTGAACTGCTGTTACGTACAGCCGGTTGCTTACCGGTAATCATTGATCAATTAAAATTTTCCTAATCAATTCATCAAATCATTAGCACGTTCATCAATAGAATCACTACAGCTACACTTAAAACCAGATTGAGAACGATCACTGGAGAAGAAGCTCTGTAACCCCTTGCAGTTGGCAATATCTCCGGAAGGGTGCATTCCTCGCCATTGAAGAACACTTTGTCCGGAAAACCATCGCCGGCGCGGATGTTGATGCCCGGAGTTAACTTCTTCTTAAAGGAGATGACCGATTGCTGCTTTCCAGGTACCCTTGGATCTGAAAGGGTCTTCCCGTCCACTTCCGGCATCAGGTAATTGAGACCTGGCAGCCCCTGCAATATTCAAATTTGGCTTTTTGTGAGCGCAAACAAAATCAAAATTTGATTTTTTTTTTTTAATTATGCTTAAGAAGTTTTCGTTTGATGACGACCTTTTGCGATTTAGTAATTAATTTTTTGTGCTCATTCACATCCTTACCTGCATGAAAATGGTGTCGCCGAGGTCGGGCCACACAGTGTTGTTCAGCTTGGTGCCATTGAAGGAGTAGACATTTTCGTAGCCAGAAACAATGTTCTTCTTCATCTGTATTGCCAAGAACCAGTTCCTGAGACAAGTAATTAAGGATGTTAATTTAAAATTGTTTCTAAGATTTTTGTAGTCATATTGACACTAAAAATTTAGATAAGTTTATATACCTGAAAGTATAATCCTCCCAATTGAAAATGGTGATCCTCGCCGTCCATCCGTTCTTATAATCAGAAAATAAGTGCCAGTTGATGCTTACGCCACAGTTGTCGCCACAGGAAACCCGTCGAGGTAAAGGCCAGTGCTTGATGTGAGCCCAAGCCCTAGCCTTTATTGTCCGGTTCTCGAATGGCACTAGCAGGGCCTCTGGTGGCAACAGCATTGCAACCGCATTGGTGTCGCACGTAGCATCCTCTGGGCATCCACAGGCACACGTGCTACAAGGGATCACAGAGTCATTATAATAAGCAGAGTAGGAGACGCAGCACTTGGCCGCTCTAGCTTTTGGCCTAGTCATGTTGCAAACCACCTACCAAAAAAAAAGTCAAGAAAATGACTATCAAACAAAAATATAAAAATCTCATTTTTTACTCCAGAATATCGTGAAACTAAAAAATGCTGTGATTTATCTCCAACCGAACTCCATTTTTTCCCCTTTTGCAGGTAACGGTCGTCTCTTCTCTCATGCGGCAAGTTCAGTAGAGACATAAAAATGGCGGAGATGAACAGCGCAAGCCGCAGCCAAATAGCGGAAGTTTCACCGTTCGGCAGGAGCTCATCGGGACGTCATTCAAGCGTTTGGAGTTCGGTTGGAGATGCCCTTATCCTGATATTATGATATAATTTCTACCTGCCAACTGGCGAGTGCGATGGATTCTGACGTGAGCCCAGACGGGTCAGGGAACTCGGCGGGACTAACTCGAATCGGTGCACCGCATACATAATGCGGGTTAAGAACACCACTTATCTCCCACTTATGAGGCGGGTAAAGCGCGGTTCTATTCATATCAGGGGGCATCTTATACACTTGGAGTTGAAACACAGCCTTAGAGAGTGAAGGGTCCATAGTAGGTGGAAGTAGAGCTCCATTTTTACAACAGTAAGGTATATTTCCAAGCTCGTTGTCTTTCTCACGCTCAGCTGGGAGATCAATAAGGATAGGGCGCTTCTGACAACTCAAAACTTTGGAAAAGTCGATATTTTGATAGTAGTTAGAAGCTTGCCCATAGATGCAGTCAGTGGAGTCTTTGATGAGGGTGTAAGCACCCCTGGTGGAGTAGATGAACTCACCGCGCATCCATTCCCAGGTTAAGTTCCAGTTGTCGAGACGGCTGAGAGGGTGGTGATTCTCCATGGTGACTTGAGCCAGATAATTGGTTGGGTAGGCCTGGAGGATGTCGTAGGAGATGGTGAGGTCACCGTGTTGCCGAGGGAGGAATTTGATATGGCTTCGTTTTATCTTCCATTTTGGGTCCTGGATGCAACACACATACATTAGGTTCCCTGCATATGCAAAAACATTAGAAATTTAGATTTCTTAAATGTAAATAAAAAGTTTTTTTAAAGAATTTTATTTTAAGTTTGAAGCCCTTAAGTCTTCTTTAAGATATGATCAAAATTTCGATCGTAATAAATCTTTGGGATTTTCTTGGAATTTAAAATATTATTCTTACATTACTATTTTTTTTTTTAGTTTATAGGTGTTTGACATAATATATTGTGATTAATTTAAATATATAACATTGCATGTCACCATTAGGGCAAATTATTACGTCCGGTGTCTGGATTCGTCCAGACACCAATTCAGACGCGCCACGTCACCAAAATACATCGCGACCCAATGTATTTGGATGACGTGACGTATTTGAATTTGGTGTACGGATGTCCGGTAATAATTCGCCTACCATTAGACAGCTTGAATTTTTGTGAAAGGATATTCTTATCAAATTTTTGTGAGGATGAGCTTAAAAATTGGAGATGTAGCACTTTTGAAAAATGGTATTTTACTTTAATTTCTTAGATGAATTTAGATATAATGAAGATAAATACTATGAAAAGTATGATTAAATAATAAATTGTTAATATGTTTATATATAACCAACATAAGAAATATCTTATAAAATACATAATAAAATGGACATGTGGAAAATATTTAAGCTCATCATGATGAAAATCTAGTGGGGATATTTTGATATGTTTTTTTTATTTGTAAAGAACGAAATAAAGAAAAAGATTTTTTTTTTTTTAAAGAGCTCACTCTAAATGTTTTGGCTGAGAAATATTCTTATCAAAATTTAATAAAAAAATGTTAAATTTTTTAAATATTTTATTTGAATTAAATATTATAAATAAGTTGATTGATTACTTATGTATTTCATTCATCTCAAAAATAAAATTTAATAATTCTAAAATTATTCTCATCAAATTCTATTCAGGTTATATATACCATGACTCAACATTTTCACAAAGAAGAAAAAAAATGATTATTTTAAAATATTTCTTTTCAAAATTCAACAAATTTTTGTAATTTTCTTTCTAATATGAACATAATAAATTATATTAATATTTAATATATATATTTTTTCCATCAAATCCATTATAATGTAAGCATCTCATAAATTTATATGTAATATGTAATTTAAAATAAAATATGTTTGAGTCCAAATACATATAAATATTTGTTTAATGCTCATTCTATCTCTAAAAAAAGATTATTACTTAAAAATTTATCAAAAGTAGTCTTCTTTGATGTAAAATGCTTCAATTGGATATTTTGATAATTAAAAAATAAGAACTACATACCTTTATGTTTTGGAGTTGGACAATTGATCCCATCATTAACCAATTTAATGGTTTTAGGCATTGGCACGCTAGGGGGCTTCACTCCAAATTGTGTTCCAACCATGTTAATTTCCACCTTAATCTTCGTCAAATCTCCCGCCGTGTCGATTGAATTTTGTAGATCCGACTGTGGAAATCCCACAAAGTTTGTGCCATTTTCGACATTCACGGGGAAATCAGTACCATCCGCCACGACCGCCCCATCAGTCGACACCAAAATCTCATTATTTTGAAAACCAACAAAGAGCTTCCATTGCTTGAGATCATGATCCATGGTGTTCGTCACAGTCGCCATTGCCTTGAAGGCATAGGCTTGTGCTGATGCGTTTTTGAGGTGAGGGAATTCTTTGGTTCGTGAAATAAATGTATATGTCAAGAAGGCGCCATTACAATTCTCTTCTTCGGGAGGCATTGCTGGGGTAGATGACGAGTCGTCATCGTAGTCTTGTGCGAGGGTGAAGGAGATGGAGGTAAGGAAGAGGATGACAATGAGAGGCGACGAAGAACAAGACATATTCCCAGCGGAATTTTGGTCTTTTGTTTTAAATTATACAATAAAGGGTGGATATAGAATGCTTCAATTGGAGATTTAATTAGGAGGGTAAATGATTTGTAACTGTAAGGGGAATTGGAGTTCCAAAAAGAGGAGGAAGGAGGACGAAGGAGGAGAGAGTTATTTTTTAGGGTTCTGTATTGGAATATGAAAATTGTTATTTGGCATAGAGAAGAGAAGCGGAGAGAGAAATATATGGTTGAGTGGACATAGCATGAAATAGGTCTTACCATACAAAATTGAGCTATTTTTGGTGGGTTTTATTTTTGGATATAGAATTTGTTATTTGACTTAAGAAAATGAAAGGTGGAGATGAAAGGATACAATTTACTAAAAATAGCTTCAAATAATTATTACCATGTAATTCACCCCATTAGCACCCGTCGTGATCTCCATCTTCGCACTAGCAGCTGCCGTCAGCAACAACCATCGTTAAGTCTCGTTGGTCGACACCACCCCTCTAATGATTGTTATCACCGCTGGCAACCACCACCACCATCCCATCAATGCTGCCACTCTATTGATTATCACTATCACTGGCATAGTCTTATGAATCGCTCTAGTTTCTGACAAGTAGCATTGCAACATAAATCAATTTATTCATATTTATTAAAAATAAATTACACCCAAATTATTTAAAAGTTAATATGAAACTAAAAGGACTCTGCTGATTTCGATTCTTGTTCATTTTTCTGCTCCATTTTAAATTTTTTAATTTTCCTGCTCATTTTCTTAAAATATTTATAAACTTTGCTCCTTTTAAAAATTTCGCCGTCCCTATTTCCGACCAAAATGTCGTAACTTCCGATCCAACGGGAAAGGAACGCCGTCGACGGAGCGAAGTCGATCAGCAACGAAGGAGGCGAAGAAGCGACTATGCAATCTCTACAGGAAAGTCGTCGGAGGAGCTCGCGATCTGAGATTGTAGTCGGTAGGGCTTGCGGCGTCGGTGGTTTGCGAACAGAGGAGAGGGAGGATGCGAGCGATCGAAATCCTCATTCCTTTGGCATTTAACGACGCGAGGCAAGGCGTCAGACAGAACAACACAATCATGGCGAAACGTGCGTGGGACGTCCGGCCTCTTGCGGAGAACGGGATTTCGGGGATTTGTGCTCGTGTTAGCCGGCGCCGGACAGGTACGCGATCTTCTTCTTCTTTTGTGTGTGTGTGTGTGTGTTAGGTATACGGGCAAACAATTAAATAAGCTTACCACCCGAGAATGAAGCAAGCAAAGTCTCTGCTTCTAATATTTTTGATCATATACAAATATCCAAGTTAATACAATCTTTTTATGGTAGACATCTATCAAGATCTAATTTTCCAAACTTATTTGACTTGTTGAGGGGGCAATTTCATCCATCTTTATTTTGTATATTCCATTCATGATTTTATGCATTTTGCTATGCCCTATGAGTTCTTGAAAAAGTCACTGTTATTCCAGAACACTAATTATTTTGGTACTCCCAGGTTCAAACCTCTTCGATGCATTTAGTTTTTTGGTCTCTAGCTTCATGATCATCATATTTCTCATAAACTTTTTCTTTGACATCAATTGTTAGGAAAAAAGAAGAGCATGCCTTATTTATGCTACAAACAATCATCTTAGAATCAAGTTCTATGAACCCCTAAGACCATCTCCAACGGAAAATCGCATTTTTCACTCCAAAATGCCGTGAAACTTAAAAATGCCGTGATTCATCTCCAATCGAACTTATTTTGCGAAGGTAACAGTCTTTCTGTTCATTCGCGTGTTTCTTGGCAAGTTCGGTAGATGCAGAAAAATAGCGATAATGAACGGTGCAACATCAATATTGACGTCCCACTGTTCACCCGCAAGGAAATAGCGGAAGTTTTACCTTTCGGCTGGAGCTCCGAGGCGACGGCATTCAAGCGTTTGGAGTTCCGTTGGAGATGCTTTAAGGCTTCATTTGGAGCGACTTTCTTGCTTCTTCTTCTTGAAAAAAGTTTTTAGTAAAAAGTTTAATTTTTATACTAAAAATTATTTTGAGAAGTAGCAAGAAAGCCATCCCAAACAAGACCTAAGTGGCTATATAAGAGATCAAACACAAAAAAGTGAATGCCAAAATTTACATTATTCGACTTAAGTAAGGCACTTCCCATTGGAGCAAAGAGAGAAAATAATCCACAAACAAAGCAGTCATAATGGTGGTGTATAACAAAATCATACGAACCAATTATTTTCAATATCGGAGTACACTTTCACTTAACAAAGGCAAAAGAGATGTCACAATTATTTTAGTATACAACTAAAAAGATAGCGTACGAGAGATAATAATGAAAGAAGATTAAATAAATATAAAAAATCATCCCCTTTAGCAGCTCTTGAAAAAATGTATCATTAGTTTATTGAAGTGATACTTTAAATTCTTGGAAATGAACTTACGATTTCCTTTTTTTTTTTTTGTTCTCTCCGCTCTTTTGACTCTTCTCAATTCATTCTCAACTCTTTCAAAAAAAAAAAAAAAAAAAAGATAGGGAAAGAAGTGATGAAATTTGACTAATTTAAATACGTGCAATCAAAACCTTTCAAATTTTATCTCAGAATGCTTTGCTCATTTGATTGAATCTGATTTGGTAAGTCTTTTTCTAAATGACTGCAAAAGGACATTGCTTTCACCTGTTGAAACTAAGACTTTGTTTGGGAAGGGTTTTTTGTTGCTTCTTAAAACAATTTTTAGTACAAAATTAAAAATTTTGTACTAAAAAATGCTTTAAGAAAACAAAGCTTTATTTGGGACAGCTTTTTTTGCTGTTTTTTAAAAGCAATTTTTTAGTATATAAATTAAAATTTTTGCATTAAAAATTGTTTTAAGAAGAGTAAGAAAGCCGTCCTAAACGAACCTAAGCATTACATTGGTTCAGTTATAGCAACTTTTTCAAAAATAAAATCTGTGTGCACGCTAGTGTGGGCTCCGAAAATCGGCCCGCCTCCACTCGCTTTCTTATTCGGCGAGGAGTTTTAAAACGAACTAAGTTCCGAGGTTAAATTTTTGGAAGGCAGATGAGTTTGTAGATAAGACACTACCCAGAGATTTCGCCTCATTTTGCGAGGACTTTATGATCCTGAGTTTTGGTTTCCTATAGGCGCAAGCCCCTATAGTTTTACCCCTCTCGATCACGAGAGAGAAATTCGATTAAGGCTAGTCGTCAATCAGATACTAGAATATACGTGTTATCTGTCATATAGTAGCAGCATAGGTATGGAATGGTTGGAGATTGGATTTGGATTTGAGAATTTGGAAAGTTTGGAGATTGAAAAATTGACATTTAAAATAGAACTTCACCATTTGCACTTAAAGCGGATGGTGGGGGAATGGATGATAGACCGAGCAAGATCCCAATGTGTTCCTGTCATCCCGGCCATCGTGGTCCCTGGTCTACTTAGTCAGAGGAGGTAGTCGACCCAACCTGACAGAAGATCCTTGTTGGCAGCCATGGGTTGCTTCGTCCAAGGGACCTGTAGACCGGGTTGAATATTTGTCTAAGGGGACAAATTTGAATCCACCTTAGCTAACAGAGGGCTTTGTGCCCTATCGATCATATCTATTGATTCATATCTCAAGGTTTGATGCCAATAAGGAACGTATTGGCTCTGGCCATAACCGTATTTCGTGGTGCCATTTGGCGGCAAACACTCGGTTCAGAGGGCCCCGGGTCTAACCGTTTATCCTGCGGTGCCATTGGCCGGCAGACCGCCGGTTAGAGGAGCGTACCACGTTCTACTGGCAAAGATTGTTTGAGAATGGATTCCTAGTAATATTTTTCGATTAGGCATTTAGCCTCTTTTGTGACTGAATAGTTTTTAATTTTTCCACCTCGACAAATTGTTACGGAGGAGATGGATTGAGTTTTGCTTTAAAGTGGTTGTATGGATTTATTCCAATTTTAAATATTTTTTAGGATTTTGAGATTTTTGGAATTTTCTGGGATTTTGGGTGGAGCTTTGAATTTTTTGGATTTTTATGGATATTTTGGGTGAGCTTGGGAGTATTTGGAATAGACTTTGGATATTTGGGAGGCATTTGAGAAACATTTGGGAACCCCTTCGGTTGAGATATGCATTCAACACCGGCCATCATCGGGGTGTTCGGGGCCATTTCTATTTATACTTGAACCTTATCAACTCAGTCGAGTTATTGACTGAGGATCGGGTTTCGTATGCTTTATGGCCTCTTGATATGTGAATTCGTTATTGTTGTAGGTCTTCGAGGCCTAATATGAATGCTTTAAAGCAAATATACCGGTCGCCACAACTTTATATTTGCTTAATAGTTCGAACCCTGTCGACTTCTATTGACCCGTATTAGAAGGATCAGTTTCGAACCTAAATTCACTGTCAACCCACGCAGCATCCCTAGGACGTCACGTGTGTACCAATAACACGCTCGCCGGGGCCTGCGGGTGTTTTGATTACAATTACCCCTTTTAGTGTGCCTATGTGTATACAAACTATTGTGCACGTGCGGGGTATTCCTAGATAGCGCCTTTATGTCTGCTTGTAACGGAGGGTTGCAAGTCCTGTGCGGGTTGTAAGCAGCTTCTGGATAGAGTTATTTGCTGCTTTCGTACAGGAGAACTGTCGTCACATAAGTATTGCCTTATTTGGGCGGATCATAGTGCACTAACTAACTCCTGCTTTGTTGAGATTGTTATGTAATATTCGACGGGATGCGCAACAGAAGCTCGTGAGCTTGCATCTGCGTATATCTTTCATGCACTTTATTGTGGTATTTGTTTTACAATACATCCACTACGGCCGGAGAGGTTATTTATCTTTAAGACTGAAGTTAACTACGGAAATTACATGCATTATTGTAGTCTTTATATGTATCTACACAGGTTGGTATATTACACATACATCTGCTTGGTAAAGAAAATCCGTTATGTGTTGCAGGCTGTTTTTTTTTTGCTTTTCATGGATCTTATTTGTATATGGAATT